GGCAGCTGCTGGGCTTCGGGCCAGTCCCTCTCCGCCCCCAGCATCCCCCGAGCCTGCATCGTACCTTCCTTTTTTTGTACTTCCCAACGTCAGGGCGACGGAGGTGGTCTGTCACGCACGGTGTTCACCGGCGTGGCTCTGCCTTGGAGCCGCGCAGGGCTGGGACCGCAGTAGTAGCTCTCAGCTGACGCCGGTCAGTGTCTTACACCCCATTCCTTGCACGACCTCGGCATTGCTACAAGCGGTGCTTGCTTTCTTTCAACCATTTTAAAGTACACAAGTTAATCAAAATAACCTCCAAATGCATTTTATTCTAGAGAAACCCATACAAACACCGACACGTTATTTGTCATTTGCACTTTTTTTTTAACCATTCATTTTAAACAACAGGTTAACTTCTGTACAACAGGAATTACTTTACACATTAGTAAGATTTGACTTTAAACTAGATGACTGCAAAATAATGCTCTGTAAGCTAGTGTTAAAAAATACGCCGTTTGCCATAGCAGTTTGCCTGTAAACATGTGAAAATACGTTAAAGGGAAGTTTGCTTTCCTTTCAGAAAATGCTATTAGAATTGTTGAGCTGCCATACCACAGCTTTAGGTGTGGGGGGGTGGTTCTTTTTGTCTCTGTAAGAGTAACAGCGAATTGCAGATATGGAAGGTGTGCCAATGTGTTGTGTGCTGACCCAAACCTACCAAAAAAGAGCCACAATCACTTCATTATACTTCACATCACTTCGTGAGATCCACTTGATGGGTTACAGAGTCCCAGCATGACTTTAAATGGTTTACTAACAGAGTGACGCTGTTTAGGAGGCTTGAATAAAAGGCAATAATCCTATTCCAGGCTGTAGGCTAAAGCTACAGGGCCTGCTTCAACACATACTTAATCTCTAGAAATCATTAAAGCTATTGTAGCAAACAAGCAGTAGTACAAATACAGAATAGGACTGATTTTTCATTTCCTCATCATATAAACACATATAGTGAAGTTCACAGGATCAGACCCACGCAAACAGACTATTTTACAGCTTTTCAAGCAGAAATGTTGGGGTTTTTTTTTTTTGTGGCTTTTTTTTTTCTTTTTTTTCTGCCTGTACAGAAGGTTACTGTTGAACAAAACTATCACAGTTCATTCAAATGCACTGCCAGCAAACACCTGAAGTGGAATGGAACTGCTGAGACATCGGTCTAACTGGAAAGAGTAACCTGCTTATGCCCCTCCTTTAATATTAATTACTGTGCTTTTTTTTCTTTATTTGATGCTGCTTTAAAAAGTTAGGTTAAGAATGATAAAAATCAAGCCCTTAAGTACAGGTATTCTAAGCTTAAGTGCTACTCAAGCCACAGTCCGCTCCTTTAGGACAGAGGGCAAGATAGGTTAGGGTTGGGGTGGGTTGTTTTTTCTTTTTTCCCAATTAAAATTAAACTTACCACAATATATTGTGCCAGGCAGAGAAGAGAACTGCTGAAAGTACTGCAACACCGTAGTGCAGTTTCCTGAACAAAGCCATACATTCCATCAAGTATAAAGTGTAAACTTAATAGCAAGTATAAGACTTGAATTAAAACACAAAAAAAGCCATCACAGTATGGGTTGGTGGCTGCCCTCACTGATATGCAAGAGGTACAGTTTGTGCAATCACATGGTAGGGAGCGGGGCAGACCAGTAGGCAACGTGTTTTTGTGTTTGCTTTTTCCCCACGTTAACAGGTGGCCCTGCTTCTGCCAAAGCGTGGTTAGCGTTCGCTGGCACTGGCCGGCCGCGTGCTGTGGGATTGCACCTGGTACCAGCTCCTGGTAGCCACTGCAACCAAACCCGCCAGCTTTAGTATTGTTGTACTGCAGCCTCTGGGCTGCTCCAAAGCAGCGGTGCACACTAATAAATGTTTTAAGCGCTCCGCTGCCTGGGAGCCCTGCGTAGGCGTCTCTGGCTGGTCACAGCCCCAGCATAGGCTTTCTGTACTAAACTTGGGCCATCTGTGCCATTCGCAGCCTGTGGCGCCCTCGCCGCTGCCAAGGCAGGGGACAGCTCTTCCCTCTCCTGTGGGCCACTGCGCTACGCCACTTGCCTCCAGCGGTGGGACCTTCCGGCAATGTGTGGAAACGTATCTCCATCTCATCAACGCCTTACCTCAAATCTGAGGGTAGGCTGCAGCCTAAGTGCCTCCGTGTGCCTGAAGCAGAGTCCACGGCAACAAAAGGTTTCAGCTCTGTAGTGGAGGGTAGGACTGTGCTGGTGTGGTAGCAGAACCAGAGCCACGGCTGCGCCTCCGTGGCTTTGCACGGTAGCCACTGCACCAGCCTCGTCTCAGCAGCATGGCCACGCACCTGCTTTCCAGCTGGGCTAACTTCAGCCACCAGTGCAAATGTAACGGACCCCTGTGAAAATGGCCAAGCCTCAAAAAACACCCCAGCAGGACTAAGGCAGTTGCCTCCCTCTGCAGCCCTAACTCTCGTGTTTGTATCAGTTTCTCATACAGACGCAGAGATTGCACCAGCCCTCCTGTTCTCACATGTTATTAAACTAACCCTCTTTTGACAAAGCCTTTGTGTGGACAACCTGAAAAAAAATATGCTGGCTTTAGATTTGTGAGGCCCTTGTACACGGATGGCAAGACTGGCCTGGACTGTCAGCACTGATGCATGGGCCGATCATGCACCTGAGTACAGGTTTGTGCACCAAAGTGCAGCCATCGTCAGCTGCTTCATCAAATCACAACGGTGTTCCGATGCGGTGCAGCTGCACGGAGGCTTCACGTGTGAAGCTGCTCACAAGTGTTTCACAGCTTTTTTAAGGATGGAAAGGTAGAAATGTAAACACAGACTGATGCCGGTCTAGCGCCCTTCTCCAAAAGCCTCCCCCCGTGCTCGGTGGTTGGCTTTGCTTCGCACGTGGAATTTCTAACCTAAGGAAGAGAAGTCCTGCCACGTGGCGTTTGGACTTCAAACCTCAGACCCACTTTTTCTGCTAAACACACTTGTCCTAAGTGTCACTTCGGTGCTGGTTTTTTTTTTCAAACAGGAACCAGTGTACATTTGTCTGGAAGGAAGGAAACTGCAGCTGACCCATATTCTGAAGCTGGAGCTCATCCTCACCGTTAGCAAAGGCTGCCGAAAGGATGTGGCGAAACATCAGCTTTCTCTCTTCAAAAAAAGAGCTAAGCAACTTACAAGTTCACATGGGCAACTCTAAACTTGCCATGTGTTTTGCGCATCTCCCGCAAGCTTGTTTTTAAGTAAGCAGAAAGCTTACTTAGGCAGTATTTTTGAACCAAAAGGTACATGTGTTCAAAGTACCTAAAAATGCTGGCCCTGCCAATGCTAGACTCGCTTTCGCTTTCATGCCCACGTTTGAGTAGCTACCCCTGCCCGTGCTTCATTCCCAAACGCAGGTATTACTT